CATAAATTGTTTTGCTTAAATGTGAACACTCATTAATTAATTAATAAATATTACTGTTATGAGAAATACAAGAAAACATTAATGGATCCAATTATTTTCGAGCAAGTGTTAATTATTTGCGGAAAAAAGACACGTCTATTAAAGTATTATTTTATTTTTTTTAACATAAAAGTTGTAACCCAATTACATCGCGAGATGCATAAAACACACGCACTCTGATAATTCTAGTTCCATCATCATGGCCTGCAAAGATAGCTGTCATTACATCGCGAGATATACCTTCGAAATAATAAATATAATTTTTGTTAGCAAAACCTAGCAAATACACATCATTTTTCCGCACTACAAACTTCATCTCTTGATCGAAATCATTGTACATAATTAATACTATATAGTTTGATGAAATGATTGGCTGCTCCATCGGTAGTATCGGGACCCAAAACCTCTGTTCGGGGTCTGAAAACTTGGTAATGTATTCCTGGACAAATCTGTGATATCTCGTAGTTGTGATTCCGTGAGTGCTCAACTTGATGGAAGGGAAATCATCGTTGTGATTGAAGGCCAATTCCATAGGAAGAGCAAAAAGAAGAAAATGATAAAAATATGAATGAGTGAAAAACAGAAGTGAAGATATTTGAATGCATATAAGAAACAACATATTTATACTCAAACAAACCTTTCGTTGCCATCAAATCGCTCGCAGAAAGCACTGTTGGGAATGGATAGGTTATTTCAAAAAATGGTAGAACATGAAGGGTCAACGAGATGCAAAGGAAATTAATTGTGTACAACGGACGAGAACTCTAAAAAGGAGATTTTGTAGAAGAGATCTCTGAAAAGAAGAGATATGGAAAAGGGAGATTCAAGTACAAACACTAGTTTGACTCTATTGTTAATTATTTAATATCAAGAAACAAATCTTCTGATGCTGTGCGATAGCTGCCAAGAATAAAAGATTTTAATTTAATTCTTACTTTACCTAAACTCTCGTTTGAATAAAAAATTTATATAAAATATGTACACACACACACACACACATATATATATATATATATATATATATATATGTAAGCAAAGCAGGAGGTTTTATTTTGCCTGTAATGTCAGAAATAAATTGTTCTGCTCAATTTCCTATACTGTGATGAATAAATTAAATTTTTTGGATGTTGTGTTGTCTCCTATAAATTTTTTGTTCAAATGTGAACACTCATTAATTAATAAATATTACTGCTATGAGAAATACAAGAACTCATTAATGAATCCAATTATTTTTGAGCAAGTGTTAATTATTTGCGGAAAAAATAGACACGTCTATTAAAGTATTATTTAATTTTTTTAACATAAAAGTTGTAAGCCAATTACATTGCGAGATGTATAAAACACACGCACTCTGATAATTCCAGTTCCATCATCATGGCCTGGAAAGATAGCTGTCATTACATCCCGAGATATACCTTCGAAATAATAAATATAATTTTTGTTAACAAAACCTAACAAATACACATCAGTTTTCCTCACTACAAACTTCTTCTTTTGATCGAAATCATTGTACATGATTATAACTATATAGTTTGATGAAACGATTGGCTGCTCCATTGTTAGTATCGGGACCCCAAACCTCTGTTAGGGGCCTAAAAACTTGGTGATGTATTCCTGGACAAGTCTGTGATATCTCCTAGTTGTGATTACGCGAGTGCTCAACTTGATGAAAGGGAAATCATCGATGTAGTTGAAGGCAAGTTCCATAGGAAGAGCAAAAAGAAGAAAATGATAAAAGTATGAATGAGTGAAAAATAGAAGTGAAGATATTTGAATGCATATAAGAAACCACATATTTATACTCAAACAAACCTTTTGTTGCCATCAGATCGTTCGCAGAAAGCACTGTTGGGAATGGATAGGTTATTTCCAAAAATGGTAGAACATGAAGGGTCAACGAGATACAACGGAAAATAATTGTGTACAACGGACGGGAACTCTAAAAAGGAGATTTTGTAGAAAAAATCTCTGAAAAGAAGAAATATGGAAAAGGGAGATACAAGTACAAACACTAGTTTGACTCTATTGTTAATTATTTAATATCAAAAAACAAATCTTCTAATGCTGCGCGACAGCTGCCAAGAATAAAAGATTTTAATTTAATTCTTACTTTACCTAAACTCTCGTTTGAATAAAAAATTTATATAATATATGTACGTATATATATATATATATATATATAAGCAAAACAACAGGATTTATTTTGCATGTAATGTCAGAAATAAATTGTTCAGCTCAATTTCCTATACTGTGATGAATAAATTAAATTTTTTGGATGTTGTGTTGTCTCCTATAAATTTTTTGCTCAAATGTCACACTCATTAATTAATAAATATTACTGCTATGAGAAATACAAGAACTCATTAATGAATCCAATTATTTTTGAGCAAGTGTTAATTATTTGCAGAAAAATAGACACGTCTATTAAAGTATTATTTTATTTTTTTAACATAAAAGTTGTAAGCCAATTACATCGCGAGATGTATAAAACACACGCACTATGATAATTCCAGTTCCATCATCATGGCGTGGAAAGATAGCTGTCATTACATCCCGAGATATACTTTCGAAATAATAAATATAATTTTTGTTAACAAAACCTAACAAATACACATCAGCTTTCCTCACTACAAACTTCATCTTTTGATCGAAATCATTGTACATGATTATAACTATATAGTTTGATGAAACGATTGGCTGCTCCATTGTTAGTATCGGGACCCCAAACCTCTGTTAGGGGCCTAAAAACTTGGTAATGTATTCCTGGACAAATCTGTGATATCTCCTAGTTGTGATTACGCGAGTGCTCAACGTGATGAAAGGGAAATCATCGATGTAGTTGAAGACAAGTTCCATATGAAGAGCAAAAAGAAGAAAATGATAAAAGTATGAATGAGTGAAAAATAGAAGTGAAGATATTTGAATGCATATAAAAAACCACATATTTTTACTCAAACAAACCTTTTGTTGCCATCAGATCGCTCGCATAAAACACTGTTGGGAATGGATAGGTTATTTCGAAAAATGGTAGAACATGAAGGGTCAACGAGATACAACGGAAAATAATTGTGTACAACGGACGGGAACTCTAAAAAGGAGATTTTGTAGAAAAAATCTCCGAAAAGAAGAAATATGGAAAAGGGAGATACAAGTACAAACACTAGTTTGACTCTATTGTTAATTATTTAATATCAAGAAACAAAATCTTCTAATGTTGCGCGATAGCTGCCAAGAATAAAAGATTTTAATTTAATTCTTACTTTACCTAAACTCTCGTTTGAATAAAAAATTTATATAATATATGTATATATATATATATAAACAACGCAACAGGTTTTATTTTGACTGTAATGTCAGAACTAAACTGTTTAGCTCAATTTCCTATACTGTGATGAATACATTAAATTTTTTCGATGTTGTGTTGTCTCCCCTAAATTGTTTTGCTCAAATGTGAACACTCATTAATTAATAAATATTACTGCTATGAGAAATAAAAGAACTAATTAATGGATCCAATTATTTTCGAGCTAGTGTTAATTATTTGCGGAAAAAAAAGACACGTCTATTAAAGTATTATTTTATTTTTTGTAACATAAAAGTTGTAACCCTACATCACGAGATATATATAAAACACACGCAATCTGATAATTCCAGTTCCATCATCATGGCCTGGAAAGATAGCTGTCATTACATCGCGAGATATACCTTGGAAATAATAAATATAATTTTTGTTAGCAAAACCTAACAAATACACATCAGTTTTCCGCACTACAAACTTCATCTCTTGATCGAAATCATTGTACATGATTATAACTATATAGTTTGATGAAACGATTGGCTGCTACATTGGTAGTATCGGGAACCCAAACCTCTGTTCGGGGCCTGAAAACTTGGTAATGTATTCCTGGACAAATCTGTGATATCCCTTAGTTGTGATTCCGCGAGTGCTCAACTTGATGGAAGAGAAATCATCATTGTGATTGAAGGCAAGTACCATAGGAAGAGCAAAAAGAAGAAAATGATAAAAGTATGAATGAGTGAAAAACAGAAGTGAAGATATTTGAATGCATATAAGAAACCACATATTTATACTCAAACAAACCTTTTGTTGCCATCAGATCGCTCGCAGAAAGCACTGTTGGGAATGGATAGGTTATTTCCAAAAATGGTAGAACATGAAGGGTGAATGAGAAGCCCATTACAGTACCTATATGTACCTAGAAAGAAAGTCTCCCTGTAAAGTTAATTGTGTACAACGGACGGGAACTATGAAAAGGAGATTTTGTAGAAGAGATCTCTAAAAAGAAGAGATATGGAAAAGGGAGATACAAGTACAAACACTAGTTTGACTCTATTGTTAATTATTTAATATCAAGAAACAAATCTTCTGATGCTGCGCGATAACTGCCAAGAAAAAAAGATTTTAATTTAATTCTTACTTTGCCTAAACTCTTGTTTGAATAAAAAATCTATATAATATATCTATGTATATATATATATAGAGAAATGTTCACCTACCTACGGTGGGCACATGTTAATATGCCCACCGCGTAGGTGGCATACATTTATTGGTGATGTTAATATGATTAAAAAAATACATCACCAATGAGTGCATGCCACCTACGCGGTGGGCATATTAACATGTGCCCACCGTGGGTAGGGGAGCATGTATATATATATATATAAACAAAGCAGCAGGTTTTATTTTGCATGTAATGTCATAAATAACTATTCAGCTCAATTTCCTATACTGTGATAAATAAATTAAATTTTTTGGATGTTGTGTTGTCTCCCATAAATTGTTTGGATCAAATGTGAACACTCATTAATTACTAAATATTACTGCTATGAGAAATAAAAGAACTCATTAATGGATCAAATTATTTTCGAGCAAGTGTTAATTATTTGCGGAAAAAAAGACACGTCTATTAAAGTATTATTTTATTTTTTTTAACATAAAAGTTGTAACCCTACATCGCGAGATGTATAAAACACACGCAATCTGATAATTCCAGTTCCATCATCATGGCCTGGAAACATAGTTTTCATTACATCGCGAGATATACCTTCGAAATAATAAATATAATTTTTGTTTGCAAAACCTAACAAATACACATCAGTTTTCCTCACTACAAACTTCATCTCTTGATTCAAATCATTGTACATGATTAAAACTATATAGTTTGATGAAACGATTGGCTGCTCCATTGGTAGTATCGGGGCCCCAAACCTCTGTTCGGGGCCTGAAAACTTGGTAATGTATTCCTGGACAAATCTGTGATATCTCCTAATTGTGATTCCGCGAGTGCTCAACTTGATGGAAGGGCAATCATCGTTGTGATTGAAGGCAAGTTCCATAGTAAGAGCAAAAAGAAGAAAATGATAAAAATATGAATGAGTGAAAAACAGAAGTAAAGATATTTGAATGCATATAAGAAACCACATATTTATACTCAAACAAACCTTTTGTTGCCATCAGATCGCTGCAGAAAGCACTGTTGGGAATGGATAGGTTATTTCCAAAAATGGTAGAACATGAAGGGTCAACGAGAAGCTCATTACAGTACCTACATGTACCTAGAAGGAAAGTCTCCCTGTAAAGTTAATTGTGTACAAAGGACGGGAACTCTGAAAAGGAGATTCTGTAGAAGAGATCTCTGAAAAGAAGAGATATGGAAAAGGGAGATACTAGTATAAACACTAGTTTGATTCTATTGTTAATTATTTAGTATCAATAAACAATCTTCTGATGTTGCGTGATAGCTGCCAAGAATAAAAGATTTTAATTTAATTCTTACTTTACCTAAACTCTCGTTTGAATAAAAAAAATCTATATAATATATGTATGTATGTATATATATATAAGCAAAGCAGTAAGTTTTGTTTTGCCTGTAATGTCAGAAATAAATTGTTCAGCTCAATTTTCTATATTGTGGTGAATAAATTAAGTTTTTTGGATGATGTGTTGTCTCTCATAAATTGTTTTGCTCAAATATGAACACCCATTAATTAATAAATATTACTGCTATGAGAAATACAAGAACTCAATAATGGATCCAATTATTTTCGAGCAAGTGTTAATTATTTGCGGAAAAAAGACACGTCTAATAAAGTATTAATTTATTTTTTAACATAAAATTGTAACCCAATTACATCACGAGATGCATAAAACACACGCACTCTGATAATTCCAGTTCCATCATCATGGCCTGCAAAGATAGCTGTCATTACATCGCGAGATATACTTTCGAAATAATAAATATAATTTTTGTTAGCAAAACCTAGCAAATACACATCAGTTTTCCGCACTACAAACTTCATCTCTTGATCGAAATCATTGTACAGGATTATAACTATATAGTTTCATGAAATGATTGGCTGCTCCATCGGTAGTATCGGGACCCAAAACCTCTGTTCGGGGTCTGAAAACTTGGTAATGTATTCCTGGACAAATCTGTGACATCTCCTAGTTGTGATTCCACGAGTGCTCAACTTGATGGAAGGGAAATCATCGTTGTGATTGAAGGCAAGTTCCATAGGAAGAGCAAAAAGAAGAAAATGATAAAAGTATGAATGAGTGAAAAACAAAAGTGAAGATATTTGAATGCGTATAAGAAACCACATAATTATTCTCAAACAAACCTTTTGTCGCCATCAAATCGCTCGCAAAAAGCACTGTTCGGAATGGATAGGTTATTTCCAAAAATGGTAGAACATGAAGGGTCAACAAGAAGCCCATTACAGTACATATATGTACCTAGAAGGAAAGTCTCCTTGTAAAGTTAATTGTGTGCAACGGACGGGAACACTGA